TAGGCTGCTTTTTTCTCCCTGTTTTATTTCATACAGAGCGTCAAGATTGAAAAATGACTTCATTAAAATTTGAAGTCACTTTCCATTACAATGTTACACAATATAAGAGTAAAACAGTATTTTCGTCAATCAATCACATGTGTAGCCAAATAAGCTCACCGATAAACAATTTAATACATATGAAAAATTAGCCATATTTAACACCAAGCAGTTTTGTCGTTTAAATATTCATTAACAGTATAATATCCTTAACTGAGTAGACAATTTTTAATATGGGCTTTAAACTTAGGTAGGTTAATTTAAAATTTCCATAGGAATTTTGTTATAATAGTATACATCTTGACCCATAAATGATGATAGAACCTTCATTAGCCTGTATGACGGCAAAACAAGTTCATGTTTGTTTCTTGTATTAAAATCGTGTACATGACTATGTTTAATATAATTGTTAATATTGTTTCTAACATAAAATATACAATTGTATATGAATTGGGAAGCCACTGTTAATATCCCATTTTTTTTGAATTTATCTCTAAGTGATGTTCTTGAATCCAAATGATAAATGACCCTTACTATTCTTTTTTGTAAAATAAATATAGACTCTATATCTGCAGCCATACCCCACATCAGAATGCCATATGACATAACGCTATGGAAATAACTAAAGTATACTGTCCTAGCGGTATCTACATCTGTAAGTTGCCTAATTTTTTTTATTGCAAAGGCAGCTGAACTTAGTTTTCCTGCCAATTATAAAATGTGAGGATGCCATTGCAATTTAGAATCCAGCGTTACGCCTAAGAAGATTGTTGAATCAACCGACTCGAGCTTTTCATCATAGAGTTTAATTTCTGGAAGTTCAGCTTTTACATTAGGTAACATAAACTTTATACATTTAGTTTTTTTAGCATGATGATGCTAAAGATTATATATATTTGTCGTTTGTTTACCTACAACAACACCCAAGCCCGAAACAATGTAGAAAAGTTAATTTTATACAACTATCTGACCAAGAAGCATACCACTTGGGTGTATGTGCTGACACTTTAAAACCGGCGTTGAAACCACTTGGCTATGAAGGTCGTCGAATATCTCGCCGATTCGAATTCAACCTAAGAACGATGACGCAACTATAGAGTTTGAAACCCTTCCTAAATGCGTAATGTAGTAACAAACGTCTGGAAACTCCTATTGTCACGGCTCTCTCTGGGCAGCGGTCCCTGGCTGGGGGCCTAGCAATTTCGCCAGTTTGCTAACCTATAGTTACACTTAAACAGTCTTGTTTCTTTGAATTGTTTGTTTACCACAAGCTATTTTCCCGTTACTTTCCCCGCGTAAATTGTAGCCCGTCAGACCAATTATATCTATGTTTACGTAATAGTCGCATCTCGATAGAATCTCAGCGACTTTCATTTTACCATTTTACTATAAACTTAAAATCCGATATTATTAGTGCATTGTCTTTCTCATAATAACAAAACAGTAACGTATATAATAACATTGGACTTCAGATAGATAGTACAATGGCAAAATACAAGCAGTTGAGAATCTATTGAGATGCAATTATTAGTACAATTGGCCTGCTGATATAACTTCCCACATTATACACGTGCGATCAGCAGGCCAATTGTAGGTGTAGGTGAAATAATATGAATCATCATCATCATCATCACCAGCCCTTTTACGTCCCCACTATAGGGGCTCAGGCCTTCCTTATGGATGGTTAAGGAGGTGGTTAATAATATGAATATGATATCTTTATTGAACCAATAATTAAAATACATATTTTTGTTTCAAAAATACTAGATGATTTATTAAAATTATAATAAAAAAAGGTAGCTTATTAGGTAATTGTTAGCGTATCGCAAAATAAGTAAAACCTCGTATTTTCCGACAAACAACAGTGTCATCGTAACAATCGCAGTTACTCCAGTTTTAGTCGATAAATTGCGGCGGGCGGATGGCGAGACTACGCGACCGGCGACGCCAGGACTGACCCAGCATCCATTACGTGATGAACGGAAGTGGAGATGCCGCTCAAGTTCATAAATTTTTATGTACAACGTCTTGTAAGAGTTTTATGATATTATCAAGAAAGCCTAAAGAACAACAGTCGAGGTTAAAAGATTTTTTTATTCAATTCAATGATTTATCTAATTTTATAAATATACAAATCAATTATATTGACCCAAATGTAGAGCAGTTTGTTTAGGAAATAACTCGTAGACAAAATTACATAGACTTTACTTGCCTTTACAGAATTTGCATAAATAACGTTAAAGTTCCAATGTTATAGGTTCTTTATTATTTTTGAAACAGACATTCGTTGGATTAAGATATGCTTAATCCAACGAAAATCAAATTTCACTTTTTTTTTTCATACAGCTTTTGAAACCCCAAATAGCTGTAAGAAATATATCGTTCGTTAGTTTTGAAAAAATATTGATAGTGCTATTTAATAATACAATTACAAAACTGGCTTATTTGAGTTATGATTCGCATTGTGTCAACATATTAATAAATAAAATTTCGACGATATTCATTTTTTGTAATGATTTTATATATTTTTAGATAATAACAATATAAGAGAATAATTGTAATAATTTTAGTGACTTTACATTGACTTTACACCTTTAATCGTCACTGAATATATTCAATTTATAAAAAAACTCGATATTCTTAATCATTTCTTTTTTTAATCATTATTTAATTTTTAGCATTTAAGAGTAAAGAAACAGCCAAAATCAACAGGGTGATAGATAACTAAGACAAATGCAGATGGCGAACTGCGAAGATAGAACGTCAAAAAAATATTTTTGATTTCTACTAATAATTCATTTGGAAAATTTTCAGATCCTTTTACCTAGGTTACAAAGTAACTCAAACATATTTATAGATCCTTTAAATTATGAATTTTAGAAAATTTAGTTTTCTCGTTCTTAATTGCAGTTTATTTGAAATGTTTATTTCTTAAAAATAATTTTGTTAGTGATTTTGGGTTTACGCGATTTGTAATAAAACCTTTACTTTTATAAATTATAAAACTATAGTTCGAATTGGAAATTTATTTTAGTGTTGAATAGTTTTTAGGCTTCAACATCACGCTATGACTGATTAGAGTGGATCAGCAATGAAAAATGTTGAAAAACGGGAAAACACAGACGAACTGCCGAAAACCACATAAATATAAAAGCGATGCCTGACACTGGTGTTACCGCACGTTTCAGCTACGGAGAATTGAATGAACACCAGTCTATTAGTTACAAATCTACATTATAGAACTTTGTTAGATCGATTGTACTCGGATAATATACATTTCAAACAATGGCTCGTTCCACTACCACTTTAACTAAGTTGTATAAAATAGTAAAATAATCTAGTAGTATTACTTTTATTAAACGACCTCCGTAGCAGAAATTTCACACGCCGTTTATAAGGTGTCGCCATCTCTTAAGTCTCGGGTTCGGTTCCCAGACGGGTTAATGTAGAAAACGGACTTTTCTATACTGTCTCGGATATGAGTGTTGTAGTACCTTCGTTGTCTCCTTTGTTTCTTTGTAGGGGGCAATCTTTAGGAATACTTACCTGATCATGAAAATGCTTTCACCTAAGGGAAAATCTATGCTTAATTGCCTTTAAAATAAACGCATATTGCTGCCATCTGAGAAACCATATACGCATTTAGTAATCTAGTTTTATTTACAGTAGTCGTTCGCGCTTAAGATACGTTATTTTTTCCTGTTTTTGTCGTGACTTGAACTTACTTTCTTATAAATTTTTACTACGTTTTGTTATTTGGAAGAACAATGTTTTACTTCTTCCTTAATTAGTTTGCGTTTATAAATATAACAACTTTAATACTGTTTCGATTAGCCGAAATATTAAATATATTTTAACCTTCAATGTAATTTCTTCTTATTAATAACATATTTGTATTAATTATTTTTTGAACCATTATATATAAGTATAATACTAAAATAAATAGTAAACTTATAATGTAAGTAACATCTAGTTAGTTACAGTGTAAGTAGAGTGGCTCACATACCGGTTTCAAAATATCGCCATCTCTGAGGTGTTATGTTCGATGATCGGTTGGATTAACGTAGAAAAATATGAATTTGCACCTTTATAAAAGCTTTTATTTGTATTCTGTCGTACGTTATATCATGTTTTATATGTACATTACCCGGACAAGTCTCAAGAAGAGCATTATCGTGATGCGGTCTTGCACAAACAGCACCTAGGGAGCTTTGAGTGCCCAACACTCTACTTGCATAATAACGCAATAACACAAGCTCCACTGGACCCCATTACCGTCAAATGCATCGTGTATTTAGGTTTTGAATGGTTACTGCTTATTTTATAGATACTTATTTCAAAAATGCTAAAGTAAGGGTATGGGCTGGGACCACTGAAGATGGTTGGTAAAGACGGGATGTGGCTACTTTAAAATTTACGATAGTGAAATTGTATCTAATAAATTTAAAATGTTTTTGAATATACACGGATTATTTTAGTAAATAAAATGTGGGTTATATTTAATGATATTCATAGTTATTTATACAAATGTTATAAAGAGGATAGTTCTAATTGTTTGTATGCATTAAATAAGCTCCCAAACTACTGAACTGATGTACAAAAAATTTTTCTCCCACGGACAGCTAACTTCGTCATAATAATTTACGCGTGCGAAGTAGGAAAACAGTTTGTCTATAAACGTATTAAGTGACTTTCAGAAAAGCAGTTTCTACTTTCACAAAAAGAAAACTAAATCTCTCCTGCCACAAAACTAGAATAGAAACCTTGGTCATCCCTGCTAGTGCTTCAATTCGTAAAATCCGCGGGCGAGTTATTCTTTGGTTGTTAGTCTTTTGTCTTATTTTATTATGCCGCTGCTCGGTGGTTCGGCGATAAAGGCTAGCGAGACGGCTTGTCTGCCAGTTGCCGGTTTTCTCGCCCTTGTTTATCAGGGGTCGGGGCGGTATGCGGCGCCCCGCGGCAGTGACAGTGCCGCTCGCCTAGAGATGGGACGCCCGTCCTTGCCGACGCGAAAAACGACCGACTTCCGACTATTCCGCAGGTGAACAAATGTGACGACGAAATGACTCTTTTTGTACATTTATACTGGATATGCGTAGCTTTGTTGGCGGTGAGCTGCACCGGCCACGCTGGCCGACTAGGTGAGCTGTAATTTGCATTTTTATTGGCTCAGAAAGTTTTAAAAGTTTTTATTATATCGCCACTAAGTTTGTGATTCCGTTACAAATTATGTTAAATGAATATCAGTGAGTAAAACTTCTTAGAAAAAGGTATAAACAGTTAGGTGAACATGGAACCTGTATAGGATCTGAAACGTCTAAAACTGAAATCACCGCTTATCAGTAATTTTATGAAAATATAAAATAAATATAACATCATTAGTAGTTCTTTAAATAAAATCTGAAATGGAGTATTAAATTTGAGTATGAGATTATTTAGTTGCTACCAATTATATAATCAATAAATTATACAAAACATTATTTATGTGAATATTTAATTAAAAAAATGTTTCTGACATCTGAAACTATTAAAATTAAAACCGTGATTTAACTTTTAAAAACTTCCCAGATCACAATTTTAAAGTCGCGGATTAAACAATTTCCTTTATTCAACTTCTGCTGCAATTTTCCTTCACTTATTGTAAGATTATATTTCTGTAATGATAATATTTTTACGTCAAAAGAATGTCTAATACAATCGTCAACAGAGTTGTTTTTCTACTAAATATAATTTAGTCGCTCAATATTGTCAAAACATAATCAATTTGGCGCATCAGTTATCGTCAGTATTTGCGACGCCCGTTATGACTGATGGAATTATTGTTGTCGGGTTCTTTTTGAATTTACGTTTAATTTAACTGACAAATATAACAACCAGACAAATAAAGATGGTGGAAACTTCTCTAAAAACGGTAACAATGCAACATTATAATAAATAAGTAGTATTATTTTCAATTATGCAAATGTATGAGATTGCAAGTTATTCGAATAAAGATGCGTTATCAAAAGAAATATTCTTATATTTCATCAATTTTGCATTCACAATGCAATACGGAAAAGTATTCTTAATGAAAAATCTTAAAAATCGTGGTCACGGATTCGAGTCCCATCTCAGAGTGCTAGGTACAAAAGTGGATTTTTAAGCATTTTTCATTAAGTACAAATATTCTGTTGAAAAGGTCAACAGTGAAATCAAGAGGAGTTCTTGTTTCTAGAAAACAATTCTGATAACAGGAGGGAGAATATCGCAAATAACGGGGGTTGTGGCGCGATGACGGCCGGTCGCCGAGCAACCATAAAATATATTGATGTATTGTATTACATAATTGAGATGAATCATATATAAAAAACTACACTTATTTATTTTACTCATTCATTCCTTATACGTTTCTTGTATTTTACGTTTTAGTCACATTTTTGTGAACATCGTTAATTTATAATCTGCACCGTGAGATTGCAAGCTGTTAAGAAATATCTCATTTATACATAACTAGCTTTCCGACCGCGGCTTTGCCTATGTGGAATATTTGCCAAAAAAATGTAAATGTAGCCAATAGGGATGATGACTGGGTAAAAAAAATGGAATTCTATTTAGTCCGTCATTCAAATAATAGAAAAATATTAGATACGTATTTTTTTTACTTCAATTTAACAAGAAATAGCTTAGACAACATGCATTAAAGTTAAGGAGTGGGGGCTCGCTACGTCATAGTTGAGTAGAAAACGTACCCTAACGTGACGTCATGCGAAATTTCAACTCAATCTAACGCCGTAATTTTATGATTACGAAAAATATTTAAAAAAAAATACGTGTTGAATATTTTTTAACACTCTACCTGACGGACAAACGAACAAAAATTAGTCATCATCCCTATTGAAACAATATATTCATAATATTTGTGTAGTATACTTTTAAATCGAATGTTAATTTATCGAAACAATCTAGTTATTTCAATTCATTTTGTAGATTCGCTGCATCTATTTAGCGAGCCACCTCATTACCAGATCACTATCATCAAAACTTAGTGAAATGTCATTTATTAGATAGGAGAATTATTTCAGAATTGATAAAAGCCGAGTTAATAACACTAGTTCTAGTCCAGTGTCATCAACTCGGCTTTTATAAATACGTAGAATTGACTGCAATTTTAAGCGATTTATGTTGTTATTTTTTTTATGTAAATACCAAGATATATTCTTAAAATTTTAACGACTCCATTTTTTTTTATTTGAAAAATAATTTTTCTTATTTTTGATGTATTATCTAAGCAATCTCAATAATTTTCCGGTTGCGTGAACACACTCTCATATGTTGCCATAGTTATATGACAGTGCGTTGGGTGCAGAGACAGCGGGCGCCGGCTACAACATCAAACGAGCAGGCCAATCCTGATAATGTCAATAGAATCTCAACAACTCGCATTTTGCCCTTGTACTATCCACTCGAAGTCCAATATTATTATAATAATAATAAAAATCATAATTATAATTTATATCAATTCCTTATACATTGCAAATTACAAAAGAATAACAACTTATAACTTAATTTACACGGTATCACGTTGACAGCTGTAGAAATATGAACTGTGATACAACTGCCAGTGTCCTCCACCCCAAATAAAAAACTTTTATAAGTTGTCAACAAAAATTATACCTATATGATTATGTGTACGTGTTGTGTTAGTGTGTGTATATGTGCGTTTATTATTCATTGTAATATATATATTATTATATATATTTTACTTTTTTTATTGTATCTGTCACCGTTGATTTGTAAGGAAGACACAGCAATAATAATATTGGTCTCAAGGTATATAGTACAATGACAAAACGCAAATAATTTTGATTCTATTGAGATGCGATTAGAACGTTAACATTAGCAGAACCAGGTCAATTTTGATACAGTGTTATTAATAAACAAGTTTTAGCGTTAGAGTAAATTTACGCGGAGACTGCACTTAGTATTAGTCAAAATTCATATTATTAAACAGAGACTTAGCAAAGGTCAACCTAGTACGAGGTTCTAAGAGAGTAATTTTTACTCCTAAAAGGTACAAGGTTTGCTTAAACTCTATATAATATGAATTTGGATTAATACTAAAATTTAAATTTTAGCGTAAATATACTCTGACGCTAAGCTTTGTTTATTAATAGCACTGTTAATGTTTATGTAATAATTGCATCTTAATAGAATCACAACAACTTGCAATATACTATCTACTTAAAGTCAATAATTAATACATTTAATTTCAAATCATATTATTTTATTGAGAATAAATTATAATTAAATGTGTTAATAAATGTTAAACAAATAAATAGTTATATAAGTGCAATATTATTAGTGCAATATCTTCCTTTCATATCAAAAGTGGCAGATATATAACAATATTGGATTTTAGATAGATAGTACAAAGGCAAATGCAAGTAATTGAGATTTTATTCAGATGTGGTTTTTATGTACACATCAACAAAATTGGCTGCTCGCCGACGCTTACGCCGACTCATCTACAAAACTTCATATTCTAGCATCATAACCGACTGATGAACTGTTAGCTCGGTTAGTGTCTATCTCTAGAATCGGAATAAAACCGGTTGATATGGCCAAATAACTTCTTATTATATTTTGCATTCACAATGCTATACTGAAATATAATCTTAATGAAAAATGCTTAAACTCCACTTTGTCCCTGGCACTTTGAGATGGGACTCGAATACATAACCTTTCGCAATTCGGACGACTGCTCTAAACACTGAGCTACCCAGGACCTAACAGGACTGTTAGGTGAACACAGATTTTTCAAGCGCTTGTTACTTTTTCACTGCTTATAGCGTATTTTCATCAATATTCAGGCAATCCACCCAAATTAAACATTTTTACAAACTTTCGATTCATTTTTTACGTGTTCTATTAATAGGGAATGGCGAATTATTAGTATGGAGATTAGCAGGCTGCTGATAAAAAAAAATTGAAACATTTGAAACTTATTTATACTGATCATCATCAGCCCTTTTACGTCCCCATTGCAGGGGCTCAGGCCTTTCCTTATGGATGTTTGGGATGGGAGGATGGGTCATGACCTTCCACGCTGGCTCAATGCGGATTGGAGGGTATTAACGACTGCAAATGCAGCCGGGAACACAACGGCTTAACGTGCCTTCCGAAGCACGAAGTAGCTCGAGATAAAAATTTTTTGGTCACCCATCCCGTGACCGACCCTTGCGAAAGTTGCTTAACGACAACGATCGCGGGCCGCGGCGCTTATCCACTACGCCACCGAGCTACTATATCTATACTGAAAAATACTTAAAAAATCTACAGTCCCCTGGTACCTTGAGAGCGGCACCAGTCGAGATGATTGTGAATGCAAAATGTATTGTATTAAATATAATAATATCATGAGAAATTTGTTAATTTGATAAGCTTAAACTAATATGAAACAGAATCAGGATCACATTGTATAATAATGTAACTGGAAAATGCGCCAGCATGCGCTGCAATATGCCAAGATTGAAAAGGTTTTGCTTCAGTACTTATATTACTTAGGGTTATTACTTTAAACTGGTGGTATTAAGACTAATGATCTGTATTATTTGTCCACTAATAATCAAGACTGTTATATTGCTTGTCCAAGAGTTGTGGAAAATTATGAATAAAATATTAAGTACAAATTTTACAAGGTATAAATTACATATCATGGATGTATAATTTTTTGCATACATATACAATTACTGTGACAATTACATATTAACACCACTTAATTAAATTCCGTTATAAGGTGACGCTCTACTATTGAGGGTGATGAAAAAGGAAATCTTTTTAAGTAGAGTCGTTAATGAGAATTTTATAACGTCTAATTACTGGAGGGGACAGCTTTGATTTGGAAATCGTTTTCATTGAAGAGATTTTTTTTACATTTGAACAAAAAATATATATTTCTATTATACATCTATGCTATATATTAATTTCCTCTCTCGTATGACTTCAAATTAAAGAGATAAAGGAAAGTGTCCTGTCATTCTTAAGCTTTCAATTTAATAATTTAGCTTTTGTGTGCAAGAAATATATTTTATGACTAACTTATTAATTTTCTAAACTTATTAGTATACGAATAGATTATAAAGGGATAATAAAGTTTAATTAT